AGCACGTCCCCTGCAAAGTGGAGGTGGGGTCTGGATGCTTCTATTTCCCTCATAGGTCTCTGTCTTCCTCTGTCTACAGACCATTTCTCCCCCGTTGGGAGTTGCTGGATTCTCAGACCTGTCTCCCTCAGGGCACACCCCAAACCCACTGCATTCTCATTTAGATTTAAAATGAGCTGGGTATGGTGGCATGTGCCTGTAGCCCTAGCTATGCAGGAGGCTTATGTGGAAAGAGCCCAGGAATTCAAGACCAGCCTGGGCAACACAGCCAGACCCTATCTCTAAATAAATAAATAAATTTAAAAGTAATCTGGGGGGGAAAAAGCAAACAGAACCCAAATGTAATCTTGCTTTCTAGCTAAAATTTTAAGAGGAAAAAAGAAAAAAAGAAATGGAAAACTGCCATAAATTTTAGAAAATATTTACAGGGATATTATTAGGAAGTTCTGTTGTGGCAAAAAAAGAAAAAAAGAAGAAAAAACAGAAAAGAAATGTTCAAGTAGATCTTACTCTGCTAGGAAGTTGTGCAAATATAAGGAAATTTGCATACTTTCCTTCTTTACAGAGTAAGCTGGAATTGAGGAGGAATTAGGTCCCCCAAACTCCCAATCATCCTGGATCCACTGACAGAATGTGGCTTGGTATTATCATTAACAAGAACACCAAATTTCCATGGACTTGGTTTACCTTCTAATCTATAGATTTCCTCAGAAACCTTAAATATAAAAGAAGCTGAGAACACATTGCATTCTGCTGGATTCACAGATTATACCAGTTTATTAGTCACTCCAAGTTCAGCCACATCATAAAGTCTCTGAAGCAGTCTCCATCAGTTCCAGGATGGCCCTGGGATGCCCACAGCTTAGCACAAACCTTCACCTCCTTCCCCAAGGCAGTCCAATGGGTCTGCTCAGAAGGGCCAGCAGTCAGAGAAACTCTGGTCAGCTTCCCCGACTTGCCCCACCCAAAACATCAGGGCCTTTATTTTACCCCAGGATTTGGCAACAAGTACTTGTGAGGCTGAATAGTTAGAATCATCGGAATGACACTCACGGAGTGCTCCACTAGTATTTGTGATCATAACCATAACTAGCAAAACTTTCTGTGGGCTTGCAAAAAACACACTAATGTATGAAAGGGTAGAGATTGCTAAATGTGTTTACTCATATGTAAAACAAAGGTAGTATCTTTATCAATGTTGTCATCAGAAAATATACTCTGCATTAATCCAGTGTTTTGACTTTTTTTTGAGTTTTGCTTTTTGGCCTAGCATGTGGTTGGTTTTGATAAATGTTCTGCAGGTGCCCTTGAAAAGAATGAGTAACTTGAGCCTGGCACGGTGGCTTGAGGCTGTAATCCCAGCATTCTGGGAGGCCGAGGCAGGTGAATTGCTTAAGTTCAGGAGTTTGAGACCAGTCTGAGCAAGAGTGAGACCCTGTCTCTACTAAAAATAGAAAAACTATCTGGGTATTGTGGTAGTGCCTGTAGTCCCAGCTACTCAGGAGGGTGAGGCAAGAAGATTGCTCAAACTCAGGAGTTTGAGGTTGCTGTGAGCTATTGATACCCGAGTTTAGCTTCTTGATCTTAGTGATTTGAAGAATGAATCCATGGACCACAGATCAGTGGTAAGACAGAATTTATTTACAGAAAAGAAAAGAATACAAAAATACCAAAGCTCCCAGCAGAGAAAACCCAGGTCAGAGAAAGAACTCTCTCACTCCCTCTTCACCTCCCCCTTTGCCCAGGGGTATATCTAGTCACCTGGAGTCCTCTATAGTTACATTTAGCGGACTTAGTTGTTACACTTAGTGGACATGGGTCTTCTATAGTTACATTTAACCAGAACACAGTAGCAAAAAAATGGTTACAATCCCTTTCATTCAGGCCTAGAAAACATAAGTGAAATTGACCAGGCCTAAGGAAACTTACATGAAATTGACTAGGCCTAGGAACCTTTCCTGAAATTGACCAGGCTTAGGAAATGGGGGGGTGGGGGGTTGCCTGTTAAGCCACAAGTGCAAGGGGAGGGAGACCTAAGGTGCTGGTGTCTCCCAAGCAGTTGTCTGGTCCCACGGGCTACTAGAGACTCCTGCGGCCCCCTGCCTATCCTCCAGCCTGCTGGTTCCTCTGCCAGCTGCAGCCACAGGCTGAGCAGGCTGAGCTGGCTGGGGCGCCACCTACCCAAGGTAACAGACTGAAAAATATGTGTGTGTGTATGTGTATGAATGAGTAACTTGAAGTTCCTTGAAGTTCTACACGCTCACTGAGATTAAGTTTATGTTGTTCAAACTTTCTGCCTGTTATCATTTACTAAGCAAGGTGTCTTAAAGTCTCCATTTTAGATAAGCCTTTGAGATGAAAGTGTCAAGAACTTGATGAGGCTAAGAAAAAAGAGATAGTTAATTGGGGAGAAGTGCCCATCAACCCACGAATGGGTCACCGAACTGTGGTATATGTACACCGTGGAGTACTATTAGCCATAAAAAAGGTGGAGACTTTCACTCTTTTGTTTTTACCTGGGTGGAGTTGAAACACATTCTTCTTATAAAGCAAGTATCCAATGTGCTCAATATGAAAACAATATATAAACAACTACATGCCGACATCAAAGAAAATACACAAGCACAGTCTAGCCAAGGGGAGGAAAGAAGGAAGGGAGGGAACTGAGGGGACAAGAGAGAGTGATTGGCGGGATCTCAGGCAGGATGTGAGGTATTCAGCACACCCCCTGGGTGAAGGGCTCAACTACAACTTGAACTTTACCTTAGAATTGAAAACAATGTAACCTAAGCATTTGTACTTTTCATACTAACCTGAAATAAATAAAAAATAAATGGAGAAAAAAAAAACTAGAGAAGGAGATTGTAAATTACGTGATGTGGAAGAGACAAAAGATTTGTAAAACAAGGGAACATCTAATTACTCTATTTGAAGATGTTTTGAGTTCCTATAACATAAACCCCTCTGTGTCTTCCCAAGCACTGGGTAGAATATAGTGCCCCACAAAGCACTGGTAAGACTGTTTCATTTTACTTTGTTTGGTTTGAGGAAGTCAAGGAAAGAATCTAGCTCTGCGCTTGCTTGGAATAAAACTGAGAAGCTCTTCATACCTGTATGCGGATCTGTCTCCCTGGCACTGGCTAAATGCGTTAAATGCGTTCCCCTCTTTGCATTTACCTTGCATAGTAGCATAATTAAGGCATCAGAAATGCAGCCGTGAGACCACATAGCAACTGAAATATAATCGTGGGAGGAGATTCGTGAAAGAGAGGAGTCTTGCCCCCTTCACCTCCCGTGATTCACAGACATCTTGGGAAGACACTGTTTTCTAGAGGGATGGAATGAGGGTTCCAGCTATTTTATCCAGATCATAAAGGTAGAGAGACCCGCTTGTAGTACTTGCTTATTAGTAAAGTATATTGCTCAGTAGAAGGTGAACAATCAGTAGTTAGTTCAAGCTGTCATTGTAACTTCCTGTCTCCCACACTTGGTGTTCAGGGCAATGTCGTCTTGGTCATCTTGGACTGAGTGACACCTCCCACCACCACCACATGCCTAGCATAGTACAAGGGATATAACAGACGCCAAATAAATATGTTTGTTGGTGCCAGATTCTCAAGGATTAAGAGGTTCAAGAGCTTTGTTACTTATCTACTGATACATAACAAATTACCCCATTACATGGTAGCTTAAAACAACAGTTATCTGTTAAGATTTGGGAACAGCTAGGCTAGGCTGGGACTCTGGGTTCCTGTGAAGTTGCAGTCAAGATGTTAGCTGAAGTTTGACTGGGGCTCACTCACATGGCTGCTGGCATAAGACCTTAGTTCCTTACCACCTTTCCATAGGGCTGCTGATGACACAGCAGGTGGCTTCCCCCAGATGTAACTGAGAGAGACTAAGACAGAAGTCCCCCAGTGTCATTTATAACCCAGGCTTGGAGTCACATTCCATCTCTTCCACTTCATCATCCTCATCAGAAGCAAGTCACTAGGTCCAGCCTCACTCAGTGATAAGGGAATGAAGTTCCACCTTCTGAACAAAGTGTTGAATCTTGTGGACACATTTTTAAAACCACTGCAGAGACACAGCATTTTGCAATGGTGGTATGCAGTACACCCGTGTTAAACAGATCCGAGGGACGCTCTTAGATCATGGCATAAGACCTCCGGAAATTCGCTCTCTTCCAATTTTTATCTCTGCCCTCAAAGATGAAACAGCATTCAGGGGCCTTTCCAGTTCTGAGAATTTATGTACCTCTATGACCAACGTTCAAATCACAATTGCCTTGTGGGGACAGTGCTCCTGACTTGTCCCTGATACCTACCTACTTGGTTCTAGAGAAGAAATTCACTCTGTGGGACGCCGGCCCTCTGTGTGATGAGGTCTGCTCCCTGCGAGGGCGGTGGCCTGACTGCTTGGAGGCCAACAAGGTGTGTCGTGTACATCCTTGGCCTGATGTAAGCATGGGGGAAAGGGCAGATGATTCCGTCAACTCAGGGAGGGACAGTGCTGGGCCGCCACTGCTGCTGACTGTAATGGTCACATGCACATATTCCTCTAACAATTAGGCTTAATCTGTAAATATTTTTTCCCAACTTTGTCCCAAGAAGTATTTAAGGATGCTTGATTTTGTAAATCATCTTTCTAGCCCATCAATAAATCAATTTCCTATTTCAAAGCATATTTTTATCAAAAATTTAAGCAAAACAATTTGGAGAAATACTTTATTAAGCAACACATATTTTATAAATTGACATGATTTCCCATTGTTTAGATACCATCCTTTTTAGAAGTAGAGGTTCTTCTAAATCCACGTGGATTTTCCCATTTTCATTAATCTTTCCTTTTATGTGCTTTTTTCTTAGACTTGCTCAACCAATAACTTCTTGTTTTAAATAGTCCATAAAAATGAACTGATTTACAGAGAGGTTTGTCACTGACCTATGTTCTTGAGCTATGAATATGAGTGATAAATAATTAACAAATTAAAAAATATTTTATACAAAATATTTGGGAGTACTCATATGAAAGTGATGGTTTTTTTCATAATTGTGTCCTTCTTTGTAGGATCCAAATCTAAAAAAAAAAAAGTATTTAACATGTAAAAATCATTCAGAAAGATGTATTTTTTTTTTTAGAGACAGAGTCTCACTTTGTCACCCTCGGGAGAGTGCTGTGACGTCATAGCTCACAGCAACCTCCAGCTCTTAGGCTCAGGTGATTCTCTAATCACCTTAGGTGACTCAGCCTCCCAAGTAGCTGGGACTACAGGCGCCCACCACAACGCCCGGCTGTTTTTTTGTTGCATTTTGGCTAGGGCCAGGTTTGAACCTGCCACCCTCAGTATATGGGCCGGTGCCCTACTCTCTGAGCCATAAACACTGCCCCCCAGAAAGATATATTCTCATGTAAAACTTCAACCATAATCTATTGTGGCTTTACTTACATAGCATAAAACCAGAATTGATATAAATTTCTAAAAAAAAACCAAATGAATAAACAGAAAAGGAACCGTGTGTACAGGGAAGGCAGATGAAAATGTTTAACCTCCAAGGTGCTCTTTTCACGCTTGTGGATCATTCCAGAAGCACAGCTGTTTACAGATTATTGGGTGAGGAGGGGAGGCAGGACGGCTGACTAGAGACATCAGTCACCAGATCACCTCAGGAAGAAGACGCCAGCAGGAAGAAATGCAGCTGAGGTGTAATTCTCAGGGAAAAGTGCCAGAACCTACTGAGAGTCCCTGGGAAGAAGTTGAGGAGGAGAACAAGAAGGAACACGATATGGACAGAGATCAGAGGAATCTGGAACCCTCCGGAAAGGATGGTGGGATCTGTTTCTCCTCCCACACACCTCTGGCAGACTGCAGGCTCCCCAACTTTTGGGGAGCTTCTCTTTACCCTCAGGAGC